GAACAAAGCTAGCTTCGTGAGCTCATTTTTAGCTAGTTGATCAGTTGTTTAGTTTAGTTCACTTTGGTAGAATCATGTATGTTGGTTATGTTATTTGATAGCTAATCCTTGGTTACTCTATACTATTTTTTGGCTCCTTTTTCCTTTATGATTGTCGTTTTCTTGTAACATTGCACACAACGTAAAACACGATTTCAGTTCACCACCCAGGCTGTCATATCATCTTGTATTTTGATGTTCTAATATATTAGACTTTTGGCACATTGTGGCACACGCAGTGCGATATGGCACACACAATTCATTTTAAGTGCACATCATGTAATATGGCAACCCCAAAATGCAATATGGCACACACAATGCGATATGGCACACACTCAATGACTACGTTTGGCACAGAAAATGTAAGGCAAGTGCACACAGGAGTGTATAGCATCATCCTGGTGTCCGTGGTTTGACTCTAGAACAACTTTAGCAAACAATGGCACATAAAAATCCACTAACGTGCACATCAGGTCATGGCCACAATAACCCAACACAATATGGCACACATGGTGTTACCCATGTGCACACAAACTACATGTACGATTTGGCACACACAATATAACACAGGCGCACACCAACTTCTGTGTTTCCTTTTCAACCGCCCTCATGTTGTACGTTATGGCTTATGGCACAACCATTTTGACAATTGTGCACATTGGAAGGAATAACATCAACCTTGTTTCTTTGGATTACACCTCTCATATTTTTAGCACACTATTTCACACAACGATTAACCTATGTGCACGCATGTTCATGGACACACTAATTATATACATTAGTACTTCTCAAACATTGGATGAACTCCCTAATGAGCGCGCCGTCGTGACTTGTGAAGCATTGAACATATATGGTTAAGCAATGTGGCACACACATCCCGCTCAAGATGCACGGACTCAGAAGTTTATGTGGCCAGTGTGGCACATTGATTTCCACGTATGTGCACACATCAATTCTCCGTAGTCCTGCTTTCCCAGTTTGCACTTCCCTTAAGACGTGGGTGCACGCACATCATATGGTGGTGACGGGCGGGATTGTGCACTTGTACAATTACTGTGTGCCATAGTATGATGAATTAGTGTCTGTATGACAACACATTTAACATTATGGGTTGCACTTAGATTGGGCAATTTATGCCATTCTGGACACCTTAAATACTGAACCAATGAATACATGTACACCAAATGGGTATTAAAAATAATGTGCTGCATTTTTTGTAACTCTGTGTCAATGTATTGGTCAATATGCATAAATGTCAGACGCATAACATGCACGGGGTTGTGCACTAGTGTTACGTAGTGTGTGCCCAAAGTGTGGTGAAGTACTTTGTGTATGACAAAATGTAGTAGTTGTATGTGTTTTTAGTTGCAAAATGTAAACAAAACGTCGATTGTCAACATCCCCTACAAACTTTGACTTGCAAACCCCACACAACAACACTTTTTATTCAATTCTTGCATTCAACATAGCACTCCGCATGGATATATTCAATTTAATTCCAAAAACGAACAACACACAGGAATACGGGGCAAACACAATTGTTACGTTCATCGTCGGCTGTTGTCATTCTTCACCAGGGAGTCAGCGATCAATTTGGTGGTCTGCGTCTCGCTCAGAATTACGCCAATGGTGGCCGGGCGTGCTTCAATCCCTGCCGCAAATAAGACGTACGCAGAATTACAGATCACTAGGACTCCTTCCTTATCTTGTCTTCCTAAAATCTTGGAAAGAATCCAAATATAACATTACACTTTAATTGGTATCATTAAAAAATTACATTAATATCCTTTTTAATTAATTATGTTCAAGATACACACAAAAATAATTACTTATCTACACTGTTGATTAAGTAGCTTTGAAGGGTTTGGATTAGTTCTTATGTTCCTACCTAAGAAAGGGTTCTTACTTGAAGCCCTCCCTATATATATATATATATATATATATATATATATATATATATATATATATATATATATATATATATATATATATAGTATATTGTTAGTATTTTATATATTTATTTATAGAGTTAGTATTTAATTTTTGAAACAAGAATTTAGATTTTAAATTTTTTATTATTAAAAATTAAAAATTTAACATTTTGACTAGGAGTTGACGGAAAATGGGGAATCCCCGTCCCCGCCTAATTCCCCGTGGAGACGGAGATGAGGAATATTTTTAATTCCCCGTCGGGGATAGGGACGGGGACAGAGTTGCGGGGACGAGGACGGGAGTATACTCCCCGCCCTCGCCCCCGCCCCACCCCGCCCCGTTGCCATCCCTATTTTAGAGTCTACTCTAATTGAACAATTCATTATTGTAGTGGTAAAGTTTGTACATGTAACATTTTTCATACTATAAACAACAATACTATATTCCCTATAAAAACCAATATATTATATTCCTTTGTGTTAGTGTTTTATTTAATATTTCTATTTTTTTTTTTTTGAATGCTAATATTTCTATTTAATATTACGTAAATTGTTTATTAATGTTGAAAATATAATAACCTTTTATTATAAAAGAGCAATAACAATATTGGCGGGAAAAAATGGGCAATATTTATGGGTTTGCAACAATGGGTTAACTTTGGGCCCGAAATAAGAAAAAAATGTAACCACGTATTGACCCAGCATTTATTATATTAAAAATTCTATTTTTATTATATTATAAAAAAATGTTAATTGATTTTTTTTTTTAAAAAAATTTTTGTAATGCCCAAAAATAAGATATATATATTTTGATGTAAACCACAATGTGGACCGGGTCTTTCTCTATACGTTTAACGGTCCAGGTCCACCCGCAAAAGCTAGTCCAAAGGGAATTGAACCCGAGTTATTCCAAAATTCTCTTCCATAAAGAAAACTCATTTCCCACTTGAGCTACCCTGTTGGGTTATATATATTTCACATAAGATACAAGCTAAAAAATACGGACAAAGTTATAAATTCATTAAATACTAAAATTAGACGAAACGTTTAAAAAATAATATTATGCATATAAAGAGATCTTGATTTGTATTTAATGTTAATTAAGGAGCATAACTGAACCACACCTCAATCATAATTGGACTCCATATATGTAAAAAAAAAAAAAAACGAGAAATCTCTATATAAAATCAACGCAGATCTTACATAGATAAACTTTTTTAAATGAATAAGTTTTACATTTTATAGTTAAATTTCAAAAAAAAATAAATATTACATTATAGTTATATTTATATTTTAATAAAATTATATCTACATAATATCAACTAAGACTATGTGGTCTAATGGTACCCGGGTTGAACTTCCATTTGGAAGGTTGTAAGTTTGAACCTTAGTGGAGGTGATATTGGTTATTTGAACCTCGAAAGTATATGAACAAATACTACATTGTAATAGAGCCAGTAGTATTAAAAAAATATCTACTTAGTATCATAGCATTAAAACAATACTTCTAAAACTGTGTCCGTGCATCGCACGGAAAACTACTAGTATCTAATTATATAGGTAATTTTATTTGTTTGTTATTTGGTATTCATATCAAGGTCTAGGATCGAGTGCAAAAGGCTTTTCAAATAAAAAAAATGAGGTGAGATCTAAGTCGTTCATCTAATAGACATCTAAAATAAATTTTTTACAAAAGCTTGATCATTATCAGTCATTTTGTTGTAAATTTCATCATATTCCATAATTCAATTCAATTATGTTGTGGATCGATCATTTCCAACCTATTTTCCTTCAATTCTGCTGTGGATTTCATCATATTCCATAATTCAACCTATTTTCATCATATTTCATCATATTCCATAATTCAATGGTCTTATGTAGGTAAAAACAGTTTGTATGGTTTGGTTCAATGTCTATGGTGTTCATCAGGGATAATTGTGAGTTTAATGGAGGTTTAATTGATCCATTATTTAAGGGTAAGAATATGCACGGGAAGCTAGAAGGAAAATGTGCACTTGAAGAAGAGAAATTATGCATTTGATGAAGAAAAATGTGCCCTCAAAGAAGGGAAATTATATACTTGAAGTAAAACTATATTTATATACATTACACTATGCATTGGAAGAAGGAAATTGTCACTTGAAGAAGAGAAATTATGCACTTGAAGAAGAAAAATGTGCACTCGAAGAAGGAAAATTATGTACTTGAAGTAAAAATATATTTATATACATTACATTGTGCACTTGAAGAAGAAAAATTATGCACTTGAAGAAGACAAATTATGCACTTGAAGAAGAAAAATATGCACTCAAATAAGGAAATTATGTACATGAAGAAAAAAAATATATATATATATATATATATATATATATATATATATATATATATATATATATATATTTTTTTTTTTTTTTTTTGAAGGAAACCATACACGGTTATTTTATAGATAAACCATAATAGAATCAGGGGGGACTGAGTCCCAATACAAAGCTGTAGACTGTTCTGAAACTGTAGAAGCTAATGTATGAGCTAATAAATTCTGAGATCTAGGAATAAAATTAACTGAGCAAAAATCAAAAGTAGATATGCAAGTCTTGTAAGCATCAACGACATAGCCGATATATGATCTGAGAGGGGGTCCTATTGAGGATACATAGCAGTGTAGAGTCTGACAATCCGTGTAAAGTCGGATAATGTGCTCGCCACGGTCCCGTAACCAAGATAAAGCTTCCTTACACGCAAATGCCTCGGCCATGAGTGGGGAGAAACAGTCCTGTAAGGGGGCATTGTACGCTGCAATGAATCTTCCATCGGGCTCTAGCAGTACAGCTCCTACCGAGGATGCATTCGTAGCATGGTGGTAGCCGGCATCCATATAACATTTTCGTGGGGCTGCGGCATGGGCGGTCTCCGGCTGTGATGCGGTCTCGTCCGGCAGTGGAGGTAGCGGCAGTCCAGCAGGGGGGACGGTGGTGGTTACATCGCCGACAGCCGTGACATGGTGTACGGCCTTCCACGCTTGCATGGTGGCTATTGCGTTGGCAACAATTTTTCTGGGCAAAGGTAAGCAAGCATCTCAAACCGCTCCATTCCGTGTTTTCCAGATATGATAAAGAATTGCAGCTACATATATAACCCCATTAGTGTCTAGAACATTTAACATTGCACTAAACCACTCATAGAAAATATTTGTCACAATATTGGGGAGTGGAATGTTAGATAGAGCCCATATGGAGTTAGCATAACCACACGATACTAAAGCATGCAATGCGTCCTCTTGGATAATTCCACACATGGCACAAATCGGATCCACATCCACCCTCTTTATAAGTAAATTATTCATGGTGGGAAAATGATGTCACTTATAGCTCTCCATAAAAATGTCTTCCATTTTGGGGGTATTTTTAATTTCCATAAAGTAAGCCATTTATTAAATGCTCCATCATTACTACTTGTATAATTTCCTACAATACGCTAGCCATCCTTAACTGAGTAGGTACCCTTAAGATCCCCATGCCAATACCAATCATCATCATATTTCGGAGATATTGTTATTTTTAGAATTCGGGGTATGTCACTTGGTTGGAAAATATCTGAGAGAATATGGTGGTCCCAGGTTCTAGTATCCGGATCATCAATCCACTTACTTTAGCTCCTGTTAATTGGGGTGGCATCTCTGTATGGATCATAGGGTCCAACTCATCCTGGAGCCACGGGTGCTCCCAGATTAGCGTAGAATTTCCAGTCCCAATGCGCCGTCTTACTCCACCACACACCACTTCCTTAGCTGCCATAATACTGCGCCAATAAAAACTGGGATTATTTCCCAGACTTGCCTTGTAAAAGGTATGTTTGGGATAATATCTGGCTCGATATACACGAGACACCAATGAGTCAGTATTAGTAAGCATCCGCCATGCCTGCTTACCTAACATTGCCAGATTAAAAGTTCTTAAGTCCTTAAATCCCAGCCCCCCATATTTCTTTGGGATACACAACTTGTCCCATGCTTTCCAATGAATACCACGGTCAGTTCCTGTCCCCCACCAATATCTATTCACTCTTCTTTCAATAGCCGTGCAGACAGATATAGGCCAGGTAGCAAAAAAACTCCCATCGAAAAGGTACATAGCTTGAGCCACACTTTTTAACAGGATTTCCTTACTAGCTTGCGATAACAACTTTTTACTCCACGAACCAATCCTCTGATCTGCTTTATTTTATCATCAATATATGCAAATGCTGCTTTCTTATTCCTTCTCACGAATGAGGGTAGGCCCAGATATTTCCCAAAATTAGGTGCCTGAGTGATCTGTAATATTTGTGCCACCTCATCCCTGTCCTCTATACTCGTATTTCTGCTATAACATATACTAGACTTATGATACTTGACCACCTGCCCAGAGAAAGCCTCATATGTTGACAAGCAATTTTTAACCTCATTGGCCTCATGCCTATTAGCCTTAAAAAATAGAAGACTATCATCTGCAAAGAATAGTTGAGAGATTGGGGGAGCACCCCTAGCAACTCTGCACCCATGAATCAAACCATCATTCTGCGCCTGCTATAATAACAAAGACAGTCCTTCCGCGCAGATAATAAATAGGTAGGGAGATAGGGGATCCCCCTGCCGTAGCCCACGTGTGGGTGTTAGGGAGTCAGTGCGTGGGCCATTAATCAGAAAACTATAAGATACAGAAGAAACACACAACATAATGAGCTTAATCCATGTTTCATTAAATCCCAGAGCTACAAGCATTCCTTGTAGGAAAGGCCACTCCATACGGTCATAAGCTTTGGCCATATCTAACTTAAGAGCTCCCCAACCAACAACTGCACATTGCTTCCTATTCAAATAGTACCCCACCTCTGCAGCTATTAAAATATTGTCAGTAATGAGCTTATCAGGCATAAAAGCACTCTGCGAGTCCAATATAATATTCCCCATCATAGGCTTCATTCTGTTGGTGATCATCTTAGCCATATTCATGTATACCACATTACTCAATGCTATAGGCCTTAAATCAGTAACCAGTTCAGGAATATTCTTCTTTGGGATTAACACAACATCCGTATCATTTAAACCAGGGGAAATGAGCATGAATTTAAGCAATTTAGTATAAAATCCGAAACATCCCCCCTACCACATCCCATAAATGCTGATAAAAACCCGGATTCATTCCATCAGGGCTTGAAGCTTTATCAGGAAACATTGCAAATAGAGCACTCTTAACTTCATCAATCACAAAAGGTCACAATAAACTCTCATTCTGAGCTTGAGTGACCCTAGGCGTTACTTTCTGGAACAACGATTCCCCAGGGACAGGATTTCCAGAGCAAAAAATCTTATCAAAATAATCAATTATGACGCTTGTCATGGCATTCCCTTCCACCCACTCCCCATTATCATTCATAAGTCTAGACAGAGTATTTTTCTTCCTACAGTGAGAGGCATACCTGTGGTAATAAGTCATGTTGGCATCGGCTTTTTTTAGCCAGTGTTGCTTGGCTCTTTGTTTCCACGACTTTCACAAATTCCCAGGAACAAAGCAGAGTGATCCGATTTTCGTGTCAGTATATTTGTCACAGAGGCCTCCTACAATACCGCACCACCCCTGGGTGGCCAACACTTTATCCAATCTCTCCTCAATCCAGTTAGCTGTTCCCTTCCCCTTTTCCCATGTGAACTGGTAGCCATTCATTGGCAGCTGAGATAACCCACATTGCCCAATAACATCCCCAAAGCCACGTAGGAGATTATCAGGATGTGGGTCCCCCCCCTTCCCCCCTCCCCCACCCCCCCATCTTCTCATATTGATACAAGAGCTCATTAAAATCACCAATCATAACCCATGTCAGGTTAGATCGTGATGCCAGCGATTTAATCAACTCCCATGCCTCATATCGCCAGTGACGTTCTGGGAATACATAGTAACACGTCATACGCCAATTCGGGAAACCAGCTATACTAACCTCCACATTGATGTGATTCTTTGAAAAACTCATAAGTCTTGCCGTATTATTCTTCCTCCATAGCAAAGCTAAACCACCACTCAAACCATTATTATCAACATAAAAAATGCCATCAAAACCAAGACTGACACGAATGCGCTTAGCATGACTCCTGCCAACCTTAGTTTCCATGAGAAAAACAAAATTAGGCTTCTTACGTGACACAAGGTCACTTACTTCACGAACTGTTCGTGGATTGCCCAAGCCACGACAGTTCCAGCTTAGGGTACTCATGATGATGGGCGGGTCTGGGATCCAGAACCCGCCACAAGCAAGTTTTTTGAGACTTCTGCCATTGTTACATCCTGATCACCCTCACTATCATGCACACCATTCTCACCGCTTTCCCGCCTCCTCTTCATCGCCGCCACCATAACCGGCTCGGGCCCCCGCCGACCAGGATCCGAGCACGTCGCGAAAGCGTCGCTCAGTCCCCTCGGCAGTCCAGAAGCCACGGTTGTCGCCGGCTGCATCGGTTTCCCATCTTTATCCAAGAGCCACGGCGCACCCACCTTACGCGGCCCCCTCCTTTGTCCGGCACGCAGATCATCAGTATAGGGATACTAATCCACCGTTAGAGCCGAGTCCTGGGCTTTCAAGCAATACCTATAAAGATGTCCAAGCATACCACAGAAAAAACAGAAATTATGTAGCCTCTCATACTTAAAGTTTACCCAGCGGGTCGTCTTATCACGTTTCAATAGCTTCATACGTCGCTTAAGCGGTTTCAAGACAGGAATCGAAACCCTAATGCGATAGAAAAACTTCCATGGTGCATCCGCAAATCTGTCATCAATCTTAACAAAAGTCCCCAAAAAATTCCCGACCTGCTCCAAGATCACATTAGAGGTGTAACCGAGAGGTAGCTCGTGGACTTGTACCCATATATCAACAGTATTAAGTGGTACCGTAACAGGGATTACGCCATCCCGGACCTGCTTACACACCAGCGTATGATTCTCAAAGGACCATGGTCCACCTTCAAAAACATGTTGTATGTCCGTCTCATGATGGAAAACGAACAAAAACAAACCTTGCTGAATCTCAGACACTTGCACCCCCTTTACCGGTTGCCATACGGATGCCATGACCTGACTCATAAACTCAAGCTTAATGACCTTTGTTGTCAGAAAACGTCCAACTAACCTCCATGTCTCCTCCACCGGTTCTGCCCCCTCGGCGTTAACCTCCCCAACCGGTGCGAACACCTCCTCGTCCTTGTCAAGGACCATATCGGTCCACCTCCTTGCCAACCCCTCGACTGCCCCCTGCCGTCCGGTCGATTACGTAGCCATGAATAGAGAGAAGATCCGGCGCTTCACCGTAAAGAAGGACCGGAACGTGCTTGACTAGCTCGGCGATCCAAGGGAAGAAGACAGAAACCCTAGCAGTAAACCCTAGGGAGAGATAATAAGAATCGATATGTCGTATTGTGAAGAAAATATATTTATATACATTACAATGTGCACTTGAAAAAAGAGAAATTATTCACTTAACGAAGAAAAATGTGCACTCAAAAAATGAAAATTATGTACTTGAAGTAAAAATATATTTATATACATTACAATGTATACTGGAAGAAGAGAAACTACGCAATTGAAGAAGAGAAACTACGCAATTGAAGAAGGAAAATGTGCACTCGAAGAAGGAAAAATATGCACTCGAAGTAAAAAAAAAAAAGAAAAAAAAAAAAAACACAACTCACGTAATTTTACCAAATAGCCACGCATGTTTTTTTTTCCCCAAAATTTCAGTCATTCTAGACAGTTGATCTGAATTTAATCAATGATTGAGATCTAACCTTTTTTTTTTTTTTTTTTTTTTTTTTTTTTTTTTTTTTTTTTGTACCTGGAGAAGCCTTTCGCATTTTATCCCAAATCTTCATATCAATATTATAAAAATGATCTATATATAATTATCGGTTAATATCTAGAAAACAGGGCCGTATTTTAAGTTTTGGTGGCCCTGTTCTAGTAAATAAATGTGGCCCTATTAAATCACAATTTTTAAAATCAATACATGCAAGTTTCGAACCTTTAACCTCCAAGTTAAAATAGAATAAATACACATTCTTACCATCTCTTCATAGAACCTTTTAAATTTAATTGAAAACTTTTAACTTTTATTTCTAAACTAGCTAGGTAAAAATTCAATATTGGACCTCTAAAATTGGGGGCCCCTCTAAAATTGGGGGCCCTGTGCGGTAGCCCAGCTTGCACAGCCTAAAATCCGGCCCTGCTAGAAAATCTGCAGCGATTATGGACGATTAAAAAAAGTAAATAATAAAAATAATATCTAATAAACTTAAATCATATGCCTAATATAAATAAATAATAATACGAAAAATATTTAGGTGACATACAACAGAATTGATCTAATAGTAATAAATTACAAATTATAATTTTATACCAAAATAATTTTGCATTATTGAGTCATATAATTGGATAGAAACATCTACAATGCAATGTCTATTAAGTATTAACATGGTAACCCTTTATACTTATAATACCCCAAACAAATAATAAAGGTTTAATTTCTTTTTGTCCTAAATTTATTTTTAGTATTTTTTTTATCAGAACATCGGGCATGATCATTTTTTGTCGTCCTTCAACAAAATTGTTGAAATGTCTTTAAATACAAGTGCATTTCAATCTTCTTTTTTTTTTTTTTTTTTTTTTTTGTTTTTTTGTTTTTTGTTTTTTTATACAAAGTTTATATTTTTATATTTACTTTTTTTTTTAATAAAAAATTCATAATTAAAGACAAAAATTCTTTTATATTTAACGGCATTAAAATGTTTTGTTGATAAAGGACAAAAAAGGTAATGTCACAATAATACTAGGACCAAATGAATGTTCTGATATAGAAGGACTACAAGTCGCATGGACTGCTACCTATAAATCTAGGACACAAATGGAATTAATTCAATAATACAGGCGTTAAGTTATACAAACTCAAAAGCCCTGTCTGGTAAATGGCTGTTAGCTGATAGCAATTAGCTGATTGGATTAGAGGATATGACTAGTTGATAACATTAACAAGTTATAGAAATTAAAGGTGTTTGGTGAATTAGCTGTTACCTGATAGCTGTATGGTATAATTTTTTTTTCTCAAAAAGATAATTGGCTTTTTGAATTTTAGCATTTTGGAGTTAGAAAAAGCTGATTAACCAAATACTTATATTGATTTTTAACAAGTCAAACTAATATTGGTCACATAAGTCAAAATTGACGGATAAGGTAACTATTTTACAAAAAAAAAAAAAAACCAAAGAGTTTTCAAAGTTTTAAGACTTGAAGAGGCTATTTTGCCGATCAAGTATACCATAACCTTTTCCTAGAATAGATATACAAAAATATGAACTTCGATCAATTCTTATCTGATCTCTTCCTTACAACCCACCCGCCCACGGCTTCCACCACCGCAATTGCTTTCTTGCTTGCTTTAACGGATGCATGAAGCTAAGGAAGCGAATTCAAGTCTAAACACATTTCTCAATTCTAAATTTAACCTGAGAATGAAAGATGTTAGAAAATAAAATATGTGTGGCTCAAATTTGTTTTAGAAGCCACTCAGCATGCAGCTAAACCTCACCCACGTAGCATGTCTGCACGTTCCTTCCTTCGCCGCATTTGTCTCTTCACTCCAATGTATAAATAGATAGTTTCTTTGTATTTGTAAACACACCAATTCATTCATTAATTATCTTTTCCTTTTAGCTACTTCACGTAGCATACATATATATATTATATTAATTTCTTTAATCCTCATTGAGTGATAATATATAATATATATATTCTCCATATTCCTATTTCTTTGTGTCATTTATATTTTCCCCTATTACTCAACTTCTATAATTCTCAATTTTTGATTCGTCGCTTCCGCATTATTCCGCTATATTCCTAACAAGTGGTATCAGAGCGGTTTAATTGAGAGTTATTTTCAAAGATGTCGACTGTTACTAAGTTCGATATCGAGAAGTTTGACGGGAAAATTAGCTTTTCTATCTGGAAGGTTCAGATGGAAGCCGTTCTAACCCAGAACGGTTTGAAGAAAGCGCTAGCTGGGAAGAAGAAGAAACCGGCTGCAATGACAGATGAAACTTGGGAAGATTTGGATGACAAGGCACGTTCAACCATCCTTTTGTGCCTGTCTAAAGAGGTTATACGTGAGGTATTAAGTGAGACGACTGCGTCAGAATTATGGTCCAAGCTGGATACGCTTTACATGGCCAAAACTATGGCAAACAAGCTACGCCTGAAGGAGCGTCTATACACAATCCGCATGACGGAAGGTACTTCGATTAAATCTCATTTGGATGAATTTAATTCTATTTTATTGGACTTGGAGAATATTGATGTCGTAATTGAAGATGAGGATCGTGCTGTTTTATTGCTTGTCTCTCTCCCGAAATCATACATGCATTTCAAAGAAATTATGCTGTATGGTAATAGTAGTAACACCCTTACTTTCGACACTGTTAAGTCAAACCTATTGTCCAAAGAAAAGTTTGATTTTGAAATTAAGTCTGAGGACAAAGGTGAAGGCTTAATTGTAAGGGGTCGTTCACTTGAAACAGAGAGTAGCAATAAAAAATCTAGATCCAAGTCCAAAGGACGTAAGTCCAACAAATCCTGTAAGTACTGCAAGAAGCATGGTCATGATGTGACTGAATGCTTTAAGCTGAAAAACAAGCAAGAGAGAGAAAAGAAGTCCGCTGAAGCTAGTGTTGTTGAAAGTGATTCAGATGGTGATGTGTTGTTATCTGTTAGCTCCGGTGAGAAACGGAGTGAAACCGAGTGGATTTTGGACTCTGGTTGTACATTCCACATGTGTCCCCACAAAGATTGGTTCATTTCTCTGGAACCGGTTGATGGTGGAGTTGTCTTGTTGGGTAATGATACCCAATGCAAGGTTAGTGGAATTGGAAGTGTTCAGATTAAAACTCATGATAACGTTGTCAGGACTCTTACCAATGTCCGGTATATTCCTGATTTGAAACGCAATCTGATATCATTGGGCACCTTAGAATCTCTGGGGTGCAAGTACACAGCTGAAGGTGGAGTTTTGAAGGTCATAAAAGGCTCTCTTATTCTCATGAAAGCTTCTCGTTCTGGAAGCTTGTATGTCTT